TTTTGTTACTCAGATTGTCTTAAAATTTGATAAATGTGCAACTAAACATGATTACTCTACTGTTGTGTCTTTAACAATAACCGAGACATAATGCAGAAAGAATGTTTAAAATTTAAAGTTCATTTTTATGTTTGATTCTCATTCATTCAGGTTGTGACAAATTCTAAAAGTTTTACGTAAAGCACAACTTTTCTGGTTTGTTGAAGACGTTTAGCTTCTCATCCAAGGAGCTCAAAGCCTGCACTTCTCTGGGCTGTGACTGTTGGAGACCAGTTAGCCTGGCCACCTGTATTCTCACTAGAGTTGCATTCGGGCCCAAAAAGTCTGGCCCGGCCCGTAGCCATCATTTCCGAAACTGACCCGACGAATTAACAGTAATTACAGGTCCGAACCTGAAACAAAGCTCCGACATTTTAAATTAAGCTTTGACTGCTCATATAGTTATTAACAGTTGGCAGACGCGCGTGGCTAAGGGGGCAGAAGATCTTAGCTGAGGGGGTGTTTGTCCTTTCATGATCATCAAAGCGCATTAAATCCCTGCTTCTGCCTGCATTCTGCATTATTCAGACATGGACCCTGCTCTGACATGTCTGTGAGGATATTTTGTGATCTCACCTGTTTGGGTCGTCGGCCGCGCGCGTTCACTGAGTTCAGCGGCTGAATGAACGTCCGTTTAGGATTTGATGGATCGCTGCCTGGTGGTCTAGTCCCATCTGAAGCTTAACTGAACTTTTATTACCTCTTTCCAGGCCGGTCAGCTCGCGGTCAAACGGCTGTGTGCGACTGGTGAATATATGGCAAGCCATGTTGCCATATAATTGGATCGTCACAGAGTGTCCGCGGGGTCTTGAAAGTTATTAAAAGTTGATAAATCAAATTTGGGAAAATTAAGGGTCTTGAAAAGTATTAAAAAGTCTTGAAAGCGATTTGATGAGGTATTATTTTTTTTGCTGTTATTCTAGCTTTAAATAATTTGACAGCAAAAAGTATGTATGACTAATATTTGTTTTCCTCACCGCGGAGGATTCGGAAACTGCTTCGCACAAATTTAGAGTGTCAGGTTACAACAGCCTTAACGGCTAGGCCTATCTTGTGCGCATGCGCGGCTGCTTTGAGTCTGTGTGTTCGAGTAAGTTGCCGCGAGACCGTGAGAACAATGGGTAAATGCAAGTTTTCGGACTCCTGGTTGGAGATGCCTGATTTTCAAGAATGGCTGAGGCCTGTCGCCGAGAATAACCGCGAGGCTTATTGTACATTTTGTAAAAAAAAGATGAGCGTAGCCTCGATGGGCATAAACGCCTTGAAGTCCCATATGACTGGAGCTAGCCACAAAAGTGCAGCTAGCCGCAAAACGCAGATGTCTATCAGCAGTTTCTGTGCTCCACCAGCGACAGCGCTTCCAGCTAACCGTGTGCCTGAACCAACCAAAGCTCCCTTGACACTGTCTTCTGCCTCTCCGTCTGCCGACATCATGGTGACCATGGGCAGCACACCAACACTGCGTGCAGAGGTGATCTGGTGTCTCCACACTGCGGTGAATCACCATTCTCTAAATTCCAACGAAGGCATATCGGACATTTTTAAATCAATGTTTCCAGATTCGGATATAGCCAGAACATTCACTTGTGGCAAGGACAAAACGGGTTACATCTTGCGATTCGGGCTTGCACATTTTTTTAAGCAGGAGCTCGTTGACAGTATTAACAAAGCTGGCCCATTTGTGTTGATGTTTGACGAGTCTCTGAACCAGTCAACTAAAAAGAAACAGCTCGATGTGCACATTCGTTTTTGGAATGAAGACTGCGTTCAATCCAGGTATCTGGGCTCTCAATTCCTGGGACATGGAACAGCGGAGGACTTGTTGCATCACATCAAAGTAAGTGAATCTTTTTGTTTACTACTATTTAATCTTTTCTTTGTGTATGATGATATTAAATAAAGCATATTACAGTACATTTTTACTCTCCCATGGACAGGCCACAGTGGAGCGTGGATTCTCAGTTAACAAGCAGGTCGAAACCTGCAACATACACGAAGAGACGATGGAGGCTCTGAGGTTGATCTGCGACAAGGTCAGTGTCTGTGGGGGTGTTCTGCAGGTACCTCTGACCAAGGAGCTGCTGGCTTCTGTTGCCTCTGCAAGGTCAAAGTACAGGATTTACCTGGAACAGCAACAAAAGAAGAAAGAAACTTCCACACAGAGCCTTAAGAGGAAAGCAGCTGGAGCTGAGTTAGAAGAGCTGAAAAAAAAGAGAAAACTTCTACAAGAGGTGTGCGATTCTCTGCAAAAAGATGCAGATCAGTTGGCAGAGCAGGCAGAGGGAAAGTCAGGTTCTTTAATGGCCCAACTGATCACCAAGTCCAATGTCTTGAGAAGGAGACGTAAAGAAAAACTCAGTGAGCTGGTGCAAACTGAAGAGTTGCTGGAATGCAAAGCAACTGCACTGAGGCACATGTAATGATTACTGTGTTTATTTCTTATTCGCCATTGTTCAACCAAGTTACTTTAAAATAACTACGAGTCTTGTTGTAACCTAAGCTATATTTTCTTAAACCTAGTCGTGGTTCAGTTTCTTCTTTTGAATTTTTTTCTATCCACTGTATCTCAGTTCTGTTGTAGGTTTGAGATTCACGGATTTAATTGAAAACAACAGCAGTTTTGTAAATCAAAGATTTGTTGCTTAATAAAACAAAGTGACGATAAGGTATTGAATTTATTTTGGAAGGTGTTGAAAAAGTCTTGAAAAGGTATTGAAATTAACTTCATTATTCCTGCATATACCCTGTGTCAGCCGCACGCGTCTACTGACGCAATCAAAAGCCCAACACCGACCCGGCCCGTCCATCCAGCACATTATTATGGCCTGGCCCGAATTTGGGTCGGACCGGGCTTGGGGGTTAGAAATGAAAGCTCTAATTCTCACTGACTTGAGTGCATGCAACCAGTAAGTTGTGTGGCTGCATTTTAAGCAGCCAATTTTTAAAAATCAAATGCTTTTTTAAAATACATATATTTATTTTATGCTTTTTTTTTTTGTCAAAACTATATTCTAGCTAGCCCAGGGGTTCTCAACAGTCTGGATCCATGACACACCATCACACCTTGATGACGAGCTGTGACTCAAATAAATAAAACATCTTTGAAACAATACCAAATTAAAGATGGTGAGACTGGAACCTGACATCATAGAGTGAACTGGGCAAAAGTGTCTTCGCCTACTCCGTTCCTGTTTCCTGTAATATCTTTCAAAAAGATGTGAAGCTCTCGACCTTGACCTCTCTATAAGTGGCTTCAAACATCAGTAAAGTTCCTGGTAAAAACCAATGCAGACATGTTCCTGTTTTTAGTTTTCTACATCACTTTACAATGTAGCTGTTTTTGTTTAGTTTTATATGTTTCGAAAAATAAATAGAAGAATATATCATTTTCTTCCATTTATTTTTTCGATTAGTACACTTTCTTTTATGATTGTCCACTGTTGTCATCATTCTTTGTTTAAAACAGGTCTGTCTTGTAAATGAGTCCTCGAGTCTCAATGAGACTAACCTGTAGAACTAAAGGTTGAATGAATAGACATTCAGTGTTCTAACATAAAACAAACAAGTTTACTGATAAATAAAAAGGCCTGCAAGTGGCAATGCTAGAGGGAAATTTATCTTTTTATGCTCAGTTGTTGCATTTTGATTAAAACCAAAACTTTTCACTTCAGTCGCTTCACTCTTTTTGTCCTTTGTCACAAAGTGAAAAGGGAGAATTGGAAATACCTTCCATCTGTCCATGCATGTTGTGACCACGATAACTTGGAAAAATAAATTAGGTACTGACGTCCATTTTGGTTTTTGACTACATCTAGGTGTAAGAAAAGTTTAGTTCGAAATTTGGGTGTTCACGTCAAATTCAAGATGGCCACCACCACGTATGTAAACTGACAGCCCTTAACATTTAAGGAAACTATCTTTTGTAGTTTTTATATTCCTTAAAAGTATAATTTCCTCAGGGGATTCGGGTGGCCTTTGGAGTGGCTGAAAATTCTTCTATGGTCGCCAAGACCACCATTGGCCACCCGTTGTTTCGGCCATTGCACCTGGTCGTGGATCAAAGTTCTCCCTCCACCCACCAGGATCCATCACTCTACGTTGTCTGGGACAAACAAAAGTCAGCGTACAACTTTTTAAAATGGACTCAACAGTTCTTTCACTCATAAATGTGAAAAACTTCAAGTCCATTTTTTTAAAGGTCATTTAAATAAAGATAAAATGTGAAAATGCACTGTACTTATGTTATATAGCGCCTTTCTATCTAATCCAGATACTCAAAGTACTTTATACTACAATCTTTGTCCTCATTTACCTCCAACACACACATTCATACATCACTCTACTACATCTCTACAAATATAATCTGAATCTGTAGAGACTAACCAGTGATTTATCACATTCATACACTGATGACACATCAGAGGCAGTGAGGGGTTCAGTGTCTTGCCCAGGGACACTTCAGCATGTGACTGTTGGTGGAGTCAAACCCCCAACTCTCCTCCCTCATGAAACCCCTGCTTGCTTTGTACTGCACTATAATGATTTAATCTCCTGGAATATGCCTCAAAATGAAACTGGACCGATTTGGACCATTCGTTTTAATTAAAATTGTTGAACTTGTGAAAAGCTAAGCTGGCTTTGCAGCTCAAGGATGTGATGCAGGGATGATTTGCCGTGTGTGTGACTGCCTGGCTGTGGGGTTTAAATGTCTGAAGAACAATAAACAGATCCATCATCCAGAAAAAGTTAGCTAAAAGGAATTTATTCGTCATGTTTTGAAAATACATGTTTAATTTGTAGAGCTCCACATCAACACAGCTGAGTTCATGAAAGCTCACATGGATGCAGGACGTGACCGATCAGGCGACTTCTGAACAGTTTGTTAATGAAACGTTCCCGAGTTGTCAACATCCAAGCTGCTTTTATGTTAATCCTCTTCGTCATGTCTTGTTTCGCTCCAGGTCTTTTCACCCTTCAGGTTCCTAAAGAAACACCTGGAGAGCACTTTGAAGGACTTCAAATGCTCACAAGTCTCCTTGCACCAAGAGGCTCCCGCTCAGCGAGACCACTGGTGGAAGATGTGAGCGTGGGTGAGTCTTAGTATTTATCCTTTTTTTACTTTGGTTTTAGGCTCACAGTTTAATTCAAGCAAGTGTTGGACAAATTCCAGGATTGTAATAACGATGAGGAATTAATAGGTTGTTTGTTTTTTATACTCCAGGAGCGTGCAGTGAAGGGGCCAGAGATGATGAAGAGGAAGATGAAGAAGAGTTCGACTGGCAGGTTGAACAGGAAGTTTACACAGAGAGATCTGAAGAAGAGCTGAGCGTCCTGCACAAATATGGCTTTGGTAATCGGAGGTCTGGCGTATTTGCACGATTACAGGTACGATCCATGTTTTAGGATTTCAGACAGTTTGTTAAATTATAACTTTGTACAGTTTATATCAGACCTGGGCAACGTATGGCCCGAGAGCCAAAAGGGGTCCTTGGACAATCTCCATCCAGCTGCCAATATTCTTAATAAAGAAAAATAAAACTCTTGTGTTGGTAAAAAACCAGCAGATTATAAACTAAACTTAAGGGACTTTAAATGAACTATCTTGGGAAAAGACTTGGAAAACCTTTGGATTAAGATAGGCTAAACATTTTTTTAAGTTGTCTTGTTTCCAGAACTAGACCGAAGCTTAAAGACTCTAAAAATATACTTTACTTTTTTGTAGAATATTTAGTCTAACATATATTATTACAAGAGCCAGTCTACAGAAATTATGTTTTTTATTGAGTAGGCCAACTATGTTAGAGCAAGAAAAAAAAGTCCGTCTTAAAGAAAATAAATTTTCCAATTCTCTATACGGCCCTTCGATTGCTTGAAATAGCTTGATTTGGCCCTCTGGGTGTAAATGTTGTCCACCCCTGGTTTATATAAATCTATTTTTCAAGTTCAAGTTGGTTTTATTATCATTCGCACCACATGTGGTACATGTGGTGGAACGAAATTGTGTACACAGGGTCCAGTTACCTCTAACAATAGAAAAATATAAATTGTAAAAGAAGCAGCAATAAGGATCAAAGATATAAACTAAAAATACTCTAAACACTAATAGTGCAAAACAATACGCCGAACAACAGCAGCACGAACATGAGTCTGTGTGAGTAGATGAGTATGAATGAGTACAGCAGCATGAGATCAGCAGCATGGATAATCAGCAGCACATTTCACTAAAGTGGCATTGCAATTATTATTTTTTTACTGATCTAACCAGAGATTGTGTTTTGAATGTTCTAAAAGGAGGAACTGAGTGATGTGATTGACCTTAAGAACCCAGAAGGAACATCAGCAGCAGAGCGCCGTCGAGCTCGGCTGGAAGCAGAAGCCTCAGCTTTCTCTCCTGACCATTATTTGTGAGTTAAACAAGAAAAACCTACTAGAACAAAACTGTTTGTCTGTGCTGTTGGTGACTTTAACCATCCCCGCGTTGTTGCAGGGCGGATTTGTATGAAGACGATGAGATAAATCGGCTGCTGAAGTTCAGGCCGTGGTGGACGAAGCTGAGCGCTTCGACGGAGGAGGAGGAGGAATGTGGTGAGTTTGTGGCACAGATCTGATCAAAAATCATTTTTAAATGTGACGTGCTCCTCAAATCAGTCTGAAGTTTGGTTTTAAGAAAAGACTGTAAATTAAGCTTTATTTTCATATCCCCAAAGGGGAATGGGTTTTACAGCAAAGAAAAGACACGTGATTACAAACAGATCAAATCCTAATATTCATTTAATTTTATTAATTAATTTTTAATTTAAGATAATTAAAACCAAATAACTTTAAACTAATAAAATCAAAATTAAAAACCTCTAACCTCCTCGTATTTGTATTCATATGTAGGCCTGTCGAGATAAACAAAAAATCAGTTAATCGTATGATAAATGAAAATTATCGACCTCATTTTCATTTATCGGCTTTATCGTTTCTTTGTGTCTATTTCTTTCTGAAGACACTGGATGACAAAATGCTTAACTCCGGTGCTTTTCACTGACCCCTCCCTTTCTCTTTTCTCTTTAAAATTTGTTTTAACTGTCCAAAATTGAGTTTTTGGACAGTTAAAAGCAGCTAAGCTGAGAAGCTAAGCTACGAGCTAAGCTAAAAGACCGACCTCGGGGGAAAAATCCTCCGTCTTGTCAAAGCTCCAAAATTCACGGTTGAAACCCGTGCCTTCGTGTAAAAGTTTTTCTCTGCAAAAAGAAGCTGAGAACTTGTTTACTGATTGTTTTTTAATTGAACGTGTTGTGTGACAAATGTTATGCTAAAGAGCTCAAACCACACCGAACATCCGCCATTTTGAGAACTAAAAAAAAGGAATGAGAGACAGCCCATGTCATGTCAAGGGGCCTCCCTCCCATTTTTCTTAGACACACTGCTCGCTCCCTCACTATCCACCTTCAGTTCAGTTTTATACTGCCATCTGGTGGTCAAAAAAGTACTACAAATTAAAACAAGTTAACCACATTTCTTCTTAAATTTGATAATAATTACTAATAGTCAAATTTCAAACAATCTATCGTTTATCTCAATAATTTATGAAACAATTAATCGCCCAGCTAAATTTATTATCGTGACAGGCCTATTCATAGGAGAGACTGCTGTGCTCATGAAGGAGTTTTTATATCTACTGGGTTCCCAGCATTTCATAAAAACAATATTCCCTGAGTTTTCCCTGATTTTGCTCTGAGTTAATCCTAAAATTCTAGGAGATATTTCAGTCGCACAATGCTCAGAGCTTAGTGTCTTAGGTGGCGGGCAGAGTCACATTCAGTAAGTTTACTATAGCCATCATATATAATGTAATAATTAAATATTGTATAACGTCAGATACTACAAAGCCCCCACAGTCAATCAAGAAGGATACATGGACTATGTACAGTATTTTCCGCCGTACACGTTGCTCCGCCCTATAAGTCGCATCAGTCCATATTTGTCTAATAAAGTGGAAAAATCCATAAATATGTCGCTTTGTCGTATACGTCGCATCTATTATGCGTCACCGCTGACGTGTCGCATTTGTTACGCATCACTGCTGACAACATGGAAATGGAAAAATCGATGGGCTGCCAAATGGTGGCCGCGGGAGTGTGCACGGGAGGACTATAACGAGAATTTAACAAGATTGACATAAAAAAATTTTTTTTGTTTGATCAAAATTATAGTAAAGGTGTGTATCAATCTCACGTTTGCTTAATAAATGCACTTTTAGGGTCAAATCAGCTGTATTTCAAAACTTGATGGGCAGAAGTAAACGCGGGCACGCGACGAGTCACTGTACAAATTTAACAAGATAAACACCTAAACAATTATTTGTTTGCTCGAAATTATAGCAATGATCTGTTTCAGTGCAACGTTTGCTTAATAAATGCACTTTAATGGTCAAATTAGCTGCATTTCGCTGGGGCGGTCGGTGCAGCTGGATTGACGGTTGGTCCAAGCAGCAAGCAGAACCAAGGTGGGGAGATTATGGCAAGCAGATTGAGTCATTAAAAGCTGGTGAAAATTATAAGTTCAAGACAAAAACAAGAAAGTATAAAGTGTAATGAAAAAAAGTCCAGTTGTTTTTTTCTTGAACTTTTTTGAATTTGTCATAATAGCCACGTTTACCTGTTACATGATACAAAAGCATGCCAAATGACTACTACTACTCTGTTGCAATCAAGAGGCTGAAAGCGGTACTGCCTAATTTTTTTATTTTATTTTTTTCCAGTCAGAATGAATGAAAACGGTCATATCTCAGCCAAAAATTGGTTTAGAAATATGGGAAACAATCCATAAATACAGTGCCTTGTGAAAGTTTTCGACCCCCTTGAACTTTTCAAACTTTTGCCACATTTCAGGCTTCAAACATAAAGATATAAAATTTTAATTTTTTTGGAAGAATCAACAACAAGTGGGACACAATCATGAAGTGGAATGAAATTTACTGGATGTGTCAAACTTTTTTAACAAATAAAAAACTGAAAAGTGGGACGTGCAATATTATTCGGCCCCTTGCGTTAATACTTTGTAGCGCCGCCTTTTGCTGCAGTTCCAGCTGCAAGTCTCTTGGGGTATGTCTCTATCAATTTTGCACATGGAGACACTGAAATTCTTGCCCGTTCTTCCTGCAAAACAGCTCGAGCTCAGTGAGGTTGGATGGAGAGCGTTTGTGAACAGCAGTCTTCAGCTCTTTCCACAGATTCCCGATTGGATTCAGGTCTGGACTTTGACTTGGCCATTCCAACACCTGGATACGTTTATTTGTGAACCATTCATTGTAGATTTGGCTTTATGTTTTGGATCATTGTCTTGTTGGAAGATAAATCTCCGTCCCAGTCTCAGGTCTCTTGCAGACTCAAACAGGTTTTCTTCCAGAATGGTCCTGTATTTGGCCCCATCCATCTTCCCATCAATTCTGACCATCTTCCCTGTCCCTGCTGACGAAAAGCAGGCCCAAACCATGATGCTGCCACCACCATGTTTGACAGTGGGGATGGTGTGTTCAGGGTGATCAGCTGTGTTGCTTTTACGCCAAACATATCGTTTTGCATTGTGGCCAAACAGTTGGATTTTGGTTTCATCTGACCAGAGCACCTTCTTCCACATGTTTGGTGTGTCTCCCAGGTGCTTGTGGCAAACTTTAAACAACACTTTTTATAGATATCTTTGAGAAATGGCTTTCTTCTTGCCACTCTTCCATAAAGGCCAGATTTGTGCAGTAGTGTACGACTGATTGTTGTCCTATGGACAGACTCTCCCACCTCAGCTGTAGATCTCTGCAGTTCATCCAGAGTGATCATGGGTCTCTTGGCTGCATCTCTGATCAGTCTTCTCCTTGTTCCAGATGAAAGTTTAGAGGGACGGCCGGGTCTTGGTAGATTTGCAGTGGTCTGATACTCCTTCCATTTCAATTTGATTGCTTGCACAGTGCTCCTTGGGATGTTTAAAGCTTGGGAAATTTTTTGTATCCAAATCCGGCTTTAAACTTCTCCACAACAGTATCTCGGACCTGCCTGGTGTGTTCCTTGGTCTTCATGATGCTCTCTGTGCTTTGAACAGAACCCTGAGACTATCACAGAGCAGGTGCATTTATACGGAGACTTGATTTCACACAGGTGGATTCTATTTATCTTCATTAGTCATTTTGGACAACATTGGATCATTCATTGATCCTCCCTGAATTTCTGGAGTGAGTTTGCTGCACTGAAAGTAAAGGGGCCGAATAATATTGCACGCCCCACTTTTCAGTTTTGTATTTGTTACAAAAGTTTGACACAACCAATAAATTTCATTCCACTTCAAGATTGTGTCCCACTTGTTGTTGATTCTTAACAAAAAAATAAAAATTTTATATCTTTATGTTTGCAGCCTGAAATGTGGCAAAAGGTTGAAAAGTTCAAGGAGGCCGAATACTTTCGCAAGGCACTGTATGTCGCTTCGGCCTATAAGTCGCAGGGCATGCAAATTATGCAAAAAAGTGCAACTTATAAAGTGGAAAATACAGTACACTGTAGAAGCAGAACATGGACTCAGTGATGGCAGAATACTAGCATTAATACACATCAGAATCTCAGAAAGATCATATTTTAATCAGTCGATCAATGTTTAAATTCTCCAGTCATTTTCCAGGTTTTCTCTGATTTCCAGAGTTGCTGGGAACCCTGATCTGTATAGGAGATAACCGATTCTGGAGCCAGAGGGCAAAAACTGAATGTCTGAGTGTAGAGTATGAGTGCAGACTGGATGGAGTCTGCCTTCCTCATGACTTGAATCCCATTATTTTTGTATTTTTAGTACTTAAGTTTCTTTGAGTTTCTTATACAGGTTCTGTCCATGTAAGGGGTCTTCAAATCAACAAATCCCGTAGTGATACAGGCTTTTTTTCTTTTATCTGATGGCGTTTATTAGTGGTTAGCAAACAATTCTATGATGCATGACCACCACCAGTTGCTAAGGAGTGTAGATCAGGACTGGCAATTCAAAAACAAAATAACTAAACACGGCTGACTCTTTCTCTACCGACTAACTCCTCAACTCAGAGTTTGAAAGTTATGCTGCCATAAATTGTATTTTAATGCATTTATGGTAAATTTTGGGGTGGCTGTGGCTGAATGTTTAGACCAGTCGTCCTCCAGTGCAAGAGTTGGGGGTTCGAATCCACCAGCAGTCGCATGTTGAGGTGTCCCTGGGTAAGACACTGAACCCCTCATAGCCTCTGATGTGTGTCCCATCAGTGTATGAATGTGATCTAAAAGCACTGATTAGTCTCTTTAGAATGATTTGTTCAGTTAGCTTTGTAGAGATCTAGTAGAGAGCTGTATGAATGGGTAAATAAGGACACAGATTGTAGTGTAAAGAGCTTTGAGTGTCTTGATAAGATAGAAAGATGCTATATAAGTACAGTCCATTTACCATTTACCATAAATAGATTGTACTTATATAGCGCCTTTCTATCATATCAAGATACTCAAAACTCTTTGACTCTGTCATTTACTGAAAAGAAGTATAATAAAATTGATATTTTTTTCATTGTTATGCCTTAATAAATATATTCCAAGTGTACTTCACTGGATTTTACAAAATTATT